ACGACTCTGGATATCCTTTTCTGTGAAGGGACGCTTGGCAGCGCTGCCGTGGACAGCAATGGCCGCATCTCTAGCAACATAGTCTTTGCCAGCTCTGTTTGCATTAATCAATTGTAGCTGTTCTGGTGTTGGAATAGGCATCCAGCCTGCCTCCCTGCTAACCACTCCAGATATCATGATAGAGCAACCAAGGTCCTTGGGTCGGAGCGCTTGTTGTCCCTCTGACCCATACCACGCCATCGAATTCAATGCCTTCTCATTCGACACAACTTCATCTTGCCCCCAAACAATTGTACGGCTGGCATTGGCAGACAGTCGAAGGCTGTAGTTGCCTCCAAACAGATTTCCCTGGAGCTCCGGAAGATTATGAGAGTCCACAATATCGTCAACATGAAATTCAAATAAGGTTTGGCCTTGATGGAGGACAGGAACGCCATCATTGTTGGGGTAGATTCGATTGGTCTCTTTCAGTTCTTGTACTCTGAATGGGAGCAGCTGAACCCAAACAGCGGAGTGTAACTCTAACTTCATCAATTCGATACAGTACTCTATCCTTGAAGAGACAACGTCAGGTCTCTCATGAATGTCTGTATAAAAGCCCTTCTTGTATAGGCTCCTCTTAAATCCAAGGAATGTCAACCAACGGTGAGTGGTGTTGCAGCAAATATTCTTTAAACCATTCGACTGTAAGAATTCCTCGACGGAAACATGTTCCTTGGCGGCAAGCTTTGGAATGAGGTTAGACCGGAGAAAGGCTTGCATAAAGTCAACAGACAATTGTTGAATGTGTTGATTGCCATGGTCTCTCATTTCGGTTGCGGCTTCTGGATGGTTCACAAAAAGGGATATCCCGATGCGCTCACTCATCAGTGGGTTGTTGAATCGACGATGCTCCCGAAACTGCCGTAGCCACTCTTGGATTGTCTTGTAACTACTGATGGATTTATCTCCGGTATTGGCTTGTACAGCAACCATTGCTTGCTGGCACTTGCCCTTCCAACAGAGTGGCTCATTCTCGGCGTCAGCTTCGAGCATAAGAGTTATTGCTCGAAGCAAATAATACGATTTGATCTGGATAGCATGAACAAGCTTGTCCACTCGGTTGGGATCAAACTTCAATTCCAGCGGCTCTCCATTGTAGTTATCAATAAAATATGTTGGAGGATCATCCGTGGCAAGCCCAACGATAAGATCTTTCGCGGCACCTGCAGTCTGGACTCCTTCTATCAAGATTGCTTGAAGGTTCCGTGCTGCCTCCTCTGCTGTTTCGTCTTCCCCAGCTCCAAACAACTTCTCAGCTTCAGTAGAGTACCAAAAGTTGCACAGGCAGCTTGTAGAGCCCCAAAGGTAGATATGGGCGTATTGATATCCTGTGCGTTTCCAGTAGGTTCAACCAACCAGGAGCATTTGACACCGCCAGTGGAGGTATCCAAGGAACTGTTGCAGAAAAATCAGCGTACACAGCAGTCGTTTCTTTGATTGTGTGGATATAGACTCCCTTTGACCGATCTTTCATTGAACCTGTGTCAACACAATTGTGCTGCAGGAGGCCAGCAAGGGCTGCTTCAACAGTAAATTGTAGCCCGTAGCTCCCTTCAATGAGAGGCGTTTTGGGATGGAAGTTGGCTAGACGATGGCAGACATGCACTGCTGTGGAGAGCAGCCACCAACGACTCTGAATCTCAGTATTCTTCCGGAAGAGGGCTACGATAGACTTGGCCATAATTTTGGCATCGATTGGCAGAGAATCAAACAGGACACGTGGTGATGTAGCTCTTTGGTTGCTTCCAGTGTTGACAATTGCAGGTCTTTTCACAGCTGGAGTCAAAGGAGTTCCATTTACTGGAGTCCTCTGGCTAGATCTCCTCTTTTGGTGGACAGCAGCAGCGACTCGTCCTGTTCCTTCTCTTTGTAGAGAACACTGCGTGGGTGATTCGTAGTTTCTCCTACCAATAACGACGCGTGGTTGAGAGATGCCATTACTGGTAGAAACTCTTCCTGATCGCCTTGTTGCATCTCTTTGTAGAGAACTGTGTGTTGGTGACGCATAGTTCCTTCCACTAAGCACAACACGCCTTGGAGAGATGCCGTTGTTTTCCTGGTTGGAAGTAGAAGATCGTTTTGATCGCCTCGTTTGGACCACCATGGCAGCCGAATGCATATACACCACAGCAACCACAGCCTCATGCACCACAGCAGCAGTCTATACATGGGCGGCATGGCCAAGAACATCCTCTTGCCTGCCATCATTGGCATGGCTCACCTCCAAAATTTTGCCACATGATGTGCAACTCTTCCATTTTGGAAAATCGCCTCATCAATCTCTTATCTTTCACGGCTACGACTAGACCAAGAAGACAATGCACAAACCACCAAAGCCATCAACCTATAGACTGGAAGTTCTGCAATGACGACAACAAGGTCTAAGCCTATCAGCATTGACAATAACATGTCCATCTCCTCTGACTCCTCGTCTCCGTATGGTATGTGTTGCGATCGAACAGATTGATCGATCTTGACGGATCAGTCGCAACGCGGAGAGGAGATAGATCATGAAATGCATTAGGGTTGAGGATAGTTCGTTAAATGAATTTGAGTGGTGTCGTTAAATAAACCATTGTTCTTTGTGCGTCAGCATGCGAGCCAGCCATGCCAGTACTCAATCTACATAGCTCTACGGTGGCATCCTTCCGATCGCAGGAGCCATAGGACACAAGAACCCCTTTCAACTTATTTCCTCGCCCTCCATGGCGTGGAACTTTGAACGTGGTGGAGATGTGGACGGATCAATCGAATGAATGACACAAAAAGGGGGGTTTTAGAGTACCGTAGGGATGTTAGACTATCTATCTATGGAAGCCAGTGAGGGCCAGGCTTCTGCAAAGAAGAGGAGGAACTCAGGACTTTGCATAAGTTTTGTGGGATCAGAGGAAACAAATAATACATGTAAATCCAGGATCAACATGGCTTTGGTTGTGGATTGGAAGGATCTGGCAATGGACTGATAGTAGGCCTACTCTGCAGAATGGTAGACACAAGAGATCGACTTGAAAAACTTCTCTCCATTCAATGATACTTGACTTGACTCACTCATCTCAGTTGAAACCATGCATCGAGATGCACCGCCAATTCTATTGCAGATACGTAGTAAAAGCGCCGTCCCTCTGTGCCATTGTATACTTGTCCACGGTACACCAAACTCTCTTTTCCAACCACTTTTATTGCACAGTTTGAACTGCTGCTGCCCTGCTTAATTTCCATAGACGCTGTCCATGCCGCCCATGCAGCCACAGTATACCTGGTTCATTTATTTGTGTTTTTCCATGCAGGAAAGTCTGACTGGACTGTTGCTTATATGCATATATTGGATGGCCTTCTTGCTGGTGAAGGAACAATTGCGTTGGCCTCTCCTCCTCTCTCGTGATCTGCTGTTGCTGCTCCAGAAGAAGAGGCCGTTTGCTGGGTGATCTGCTGCTGTTTGATCAACAAGACGGTGCGTTTTGGGCTGGGTGTTGCCTCCACGCAGAGGCTGCGGTGGGGAATGGCGAGTCGTGCGTAAATACGTGAAATTCGCGGTTTTACCTCGAGTTTCGCGATTTCAACACTTTTCGAGAAGAAAACCACGAGGAACATTTTAAAAAAGCCAGCGGCAGTAAGGTTTCAGTGTAGAAGCAGATACCCCTATTAGCTAGCTAGCTAGAAGCAGATACCTCCAGTGCTTAGCTAGTGCTTAACTTGTGCTTAGCTCGCTAGAAGCAGATTCCCCCTAGCTAGAGGCAGATTCCCATAGCAAGCTAGAAGCAGACACCCCTAGCTCGCTAGAATACTAGTTATATAGCTTTCGCTGGCTTTAGAGTTTTTCCTGGTAGAAGCAGATCCCCCTACTAGGATGTATGTAAATAGCTTTAGCTGGTTTAAAAGCACCATCCTAAGAAACTTATTAGTTTTTGCTGACTTATTTGTATTCTAACCCTACCCTTTTCCTGCAGGGACCACCGTAACAGGAAACACAATGGGGTTGAGGGCTCTGGAAGGACCACCGTAACAGGAAACACAATGGGGTTGAGGGCTCTGGCAGCAAGACTGCCGAGGTAAATTAAGCCAGCGGAGCTGTGTAACCTCGGCAGAAAGGTTTCAGTGTAGAAGCAGATAACCCTATTAGCTAATAGCTAGCTAGCTAGAAGCAGATACCTGTAGTGCTTACCTAGTGCTTAACTTGCGCTTAGCTAGCTAGAAGCAGATCCCCTAGCTAGAAGCAGATTCCCATAGCAAGCTAGAAGCAGATACCCCAAGCTAGCTAGAATACTAGTTATATAGCTTTTGCTAGCTGTAGAGTTTTTCCTGGTAGAAGCAGATGCCCCTACTAGGATGCATGTAAATAGCTTTAGCTGGTTTAAAAGCACCATCCTAGGATACTTATTTAGTTTTTGCTGACTTATTTGTATTCTAACCCTACCCTTATACCTGCAGGGACCACCGTAGCAGGAAAAACAATTAAAGGGGTTGAGGGCTCTGGCAGCAAGACTGCCGAGGTATATCCTTTTAGCCCAGGAGTGGATGGTACTCTCTTGGTTGGGCCCTAATGTATTCGTAGAATTCTGAAGCAAGAGCCATTGAGTTTTTCTTGGGTGCTACACCAGCCTGACATGGCAAGTGGTGATTTCGTTGTCTTCGCCGTCACCTGCCTGGCTGATCTCTGGATCGTCAGTGTCAACAGCATCATCATTCTCATCGTCATCTTTGGTCTGATCCTGGCCAACAACAAAACAACAGCCAAAGAACAGAATGGAGAAAAATAGGAATATTTTGATTGTAGCATTGGTAACCAGAGCTGTGTCATAGAACACTATGAGTTGAGTGATTTCCACCACAACCCTTGCAAGCAAGAACCCCATCAAGACAGCCCCGATAACTTTTAGGAGCGAGAGCTCTGGATCCCGTCAGAGATAGCTTCAACAGCTATGCTGGCCTACAGCTCCAGCACCCACAGCTGGCTTATCTCCAGCCAAAGCAGCAAGAAAGGATCGTCCTTTCTACCATAGTTAAGAAAATAGTACGAAAGATTGAGACCGATCCTGATTAGCTTGTAGCCCCATTGATACCGCAGCAGTTGATACCAATCCTGTTGAGGCCGGGCAGAAGCAGTAGGAGGTAGCAGATAGTACTGTTCCCAGACTGCCACTGCACGATTGAATAACGAAGGTCCCCAGCTCCTGAGGTGAGCTGGCCCAAAGGGCCCAGCAGAGAGTTCTGCTGGCCCTCCTGTCTGACTGACAGGGCCAAGTCCTTGGTTTGGTGCCTACTGGAGGTGTTGGAATACTCCTGAGGCACGACAAGGCTCCCTGAACTGCCTGACTACCGCTGTCCCTGAGGAAGGGTTTCAGCGAGGTCCAGTCCACTACTGGAGTATTGGAACTGAACCTTCTAGAAACTTATTGGCCCAATCCAGTGACAAGTTGGCCTGGGTTTGATTGGCTTGGCTTGAGCTGGAACCCATGCGCCGTACAATCAAGAGGGCATTGACAAAGCAGAGACGAAGACCCATGGCTGCAATCAAAACACCATAAAATCCGCTGCATAGTTGTTGAATCTGTGCTGGTTCTACTCAACACTTCTTCCATTGTGCTTCTTGGACACACAGACCAATGGAGCACAACTGGATGCTTAGCCCCAACACAATGCTGCAAAGCACAGCCTTCTGTTTCACGTTTGCCATTGTCATCTATTGGATGGTGTTTGCTTCTTGCCTTGCCTTGCCTTGCATTGCCTTGCCTTGCTCTGAATTGCTTCCCTTTTGATTTTCTATGCTGCTTGTTGCTTCTTGTCACGAAGGAAGAACGCATTCAAATTTAGACTACTGTACTAGGGCACGGCGAAGATCGACGAATTTCATGCAGCCATGGAGGTGCGCAGAATCAGGCCCTAGCCACACTATAAGAGCAACGAAACACCTCTAACAGAGGAATTGCCATATACGTGCGTGCGCGCGATTCCCATCTCCAAGGTACGACGATCGTTCAACAGTTTCCGGCCGGAACTGGAAGGATCTACGTATACCAGGTGATCAAGGAGAAGATTCCACACGGATTCGATACTGGTAACACGGCGAACGGCCTCTTATCCATCGAGTTGAAGTGGGATTGCGTCATTCGGGCATTTTCGATTCCCATCGCGCGAGCAAAAGCCGACAGTTGCCGATCAAGCTATCGTCCGACGAAAGCGTTGCAAGGCAAGGACCCAATAAAGAGGAAGTTGCGCAACACGACAAGGGTACTGTGGCTATCAACGCAAGCTTCTAGCTCCAAGTATTGAGCGAGAAACGTCCAATCGTGTGTTTACTGCTTGTGAGCCGGGAAACCAAAATCCCGAGAAGAGTACAGGAGTTCGAAACTCCACAACGGAAGCGTTCTGTGCATTGATACTCACACAGTACACTCATCTAACTACAACAGACAGGTCTGCCAACAAAGAGCAACCATACGAAAGGCTACAGAGGAGTTCGCTACTGCCCTGAGC